TAAATATATAAACTATGTTACATGCGTTATATGCGTCTCTAATTATTTTTCCCTAGCAAATTTCAATTGAACCTAAAGCCGCCACGTCAGTTTAATTGATATGCTAATTGATTGACAACTAAGCAAGGTTACTTTTTAATTAATACAAACTTGAGGTTACATCTTTTCAAATGTTTCTCAATTAATATATAGGGGATTCGGGATGAAGAGGTTAGCCTTTGAAGCTAACCACCTCGGAATCAAAAGATTTACATGGGAAAAGATAAAGTTTTTGACTCGAGCTCCTTTGGCAAGGGGATTGGTCCTTACATTATGCTTTCGTGCAATAAAAGAAATAGAAAAAAGGTAAACATATCACGTAAATGGTCGAATTCATTCTATTCTGAAGCCAAAATTGACCAAACTTCTACTTCATGTATCAGCTTGACAAGCTGAAGACAGTCCGATTCAAAGGACATTGTGAAAAATCCTAGCTGCAAAGCAGCTTTCATTGCATAGAGAAAGATATTAAACTCCGCATGCAATGGAGATAGAACTTGGTCTATTCCAAAAGAACCATACATGTGACTCTCTGGTTCTGTATCGAAAACACAACCACAACCGGCAAAACTTGAGTTTTTCACCCAAGATGCATCCACTTGGCATCTTGGGAAGTGTGAATCACTCTCATCGTTTACTTGTTCTTGGGTGGGTGTTCTTTAGGGTAGGGCATGGTCTGAGATGACTTGAGCAACTCTCCATTCTTTTTCTTCCCTAGTCGCGTGTTGGACAGTATCCAGGGGTAGAATATTTTTTCCATTAAAGACTTTTTCCTTCCTCGCTTTCCAGATGAACCAAGAGATCCATGGAAATCTCATCATAATATTCTCTGGCACTCCACTCATCTTTGCACAGAGAAGGAGATAGTCAAAATTTTGGTATAGAGATTCGCTCGGGAAGATCCCCAGAATCGTCGGTATAGCCGATAAGGCCCATGTTTGGAGTGCCATTGGACATAGAAACAAGAGATGGTTTGTAGTTTCCTCGCTTTCGCCACATTTAGGACATGTACGATCGCTCCCACAGTCTTTATCCACTAGTCGGCTGCATACAACTATGCACTCAGATAAGGCTTGCCAAAGAAAATGTTTTATCTTTCGCGTCGTTTTCAGCTTCCATATCAACGCCTTTAAAGAGTTGACATTGGGCTCCGAGGCTATATTCCCTTCACATTTCTCCTCCTTTATCTGTGAGGCCAATTTGTATCCAGATTTGACTGTATAAAGACCTGACTTTGTGTAAATCCAGAAGTAGCCGTCTTCTCTATCATTATGGCTGGGTCTTATGCTCCGTATTAATGGGATGTCTCCAGGATCAAACATGGATTCGAGAAGGTCGCTTCTCCATTGTTTCGTAGTCTGTTCTATAAGGTGGCTTAAACAGAGGTTTGGATCTCGGTAATACCGGCATCATTGGCCGGCAGTGCCGGGATTGAAGGTATCCAAGGGTCTAGCCAAAATCGTGTGCTAGCTCCAGTACATATAGTTTTCCTCAGCCCTTCCCTAAGGAGATTTTGTGCGGCAAGAATGTTTTTCTATCCATAAGATGGAGAGTTCGATGTTTTAATTTTCATGGGGCTAATATGGCAAAAATACCTGCCTTTGAGGACTCGTGCAAGCAAAGAATCCAGATGATGGAGTAAGCGCCACAGTTGTTTGGCTAATAAGGCTAAATTAAAATCATGAAGATCTCTGAACCCCAGACCTCCCTTATCAAAAGAAATGCATATCTTCTCCCACGCAATCCAATGTAAGCCTCGGTTGTTCGCTTTTGTGCTCCCCCAGAACTTCGCAATTGCACTTTTTAATTTTTTTATGATTTCTTTAGGCAGCAGGAAACAAGACATTACATAGGTTGGTAATGCATGAGCGACAGATTTCAAAAGAACTTCTTTACCTCCCTTCGATAAAAATTTTGCCGACCATGAGTTTATTATGTCATTTAGACGATCTCTAATGAAGGCAAACACCTCTCGCTTGGAGCCACATATCTTTTCCAGTAAGCCGAGATACATACCCATCCCTCCTTCTTTGTGAATACCCAGTGTATGCTTGAGAATGCCTTTTATTTCTTGTCCAACTCTATTCCCAAAGGATATTGAGGATTTAGTTAGATTAAGTTGCTGGTCCGAAGCCCTCCCGTACAACTTAATGATCCTAAAAAGCTCAGCACATTGCTGGATATCTGCTTTACAAAAGAATAGGCTGTCCGCAAATAAAAGATGGGATACTGCTGGACTGGCCCTCGTAATTTTAAGTCCTATGATCCTGCCTTCATCCTTTACGCCTTTCAGCTGTGAGATAAGTGCTTCCGTCATCAGAATGAATAGGAATGGAGATAATGGATCGCCTTGGCGCAGACCTCGGGATGGTTGGACATCCCCTTTTGGTTCTTCGTTGATCAGAACCTGGTAAGATACAGAAGATACGCACCACCGGATCCAACATACCCATTTTTCTGCAAAGCCCATTTTAGGAGAAGTGCTTCAAGAAAATTCCATTCGACCCGGTCGTATGCTTTACTCATGTCCATCTTGATTGCAACAAACTTAGCTTTGCACATAGGGTTTGTACGAAGAGCATGAAAAGCCTCCTTGGCTAGCAGAATGTTATCTGATATTAGTCTTCTCTCCACAAAGGCGGATTGGGTCTCCGAGACTAATTTAGGTAGGAGTTTTTTCAGTCGGGAACATAGAATCTTTGAGATTATCTTATAGCTTACATGGCATAGACTGATGGGGGCGGAATTCAGTCATCTCTCTTGGCTGTTCTGTCTTTGGTATTAAACATATATGTGTCTGATTGAGCCTCGGATCAAAAGAGCTATTACCGAAAAAATCTTTCACCATCTTGATAATATCTTTTGCAGTAATGTCCCAGAATCGTTGATAAAAAAGGTCTGTCATGCCATCCGGTCATGTTTCCTTATCAAGATTAATCTCATCGATTGCATTTTTTATTTCCCTAGGCCACTTCATTCTCTGAGACCAATTTAGTAGACACTTTATCACTCTTGTTCAATTTTTGGTGGCATAGAGTATTTATAATGTTTGAATTCTCTACAAATAAGGTGAAATCACTTTTTTTTTACCAAAAAAAATAAAAGACTATTTCAAGAAAAAAATGAAAGGCTATTTCAAACTAAAATGTAACACCATGTAGGTAGGCAAGATTGATGACCCCCAAGCCAAAAATATTCGAGGTCAATAACTAAGGGCATCTCCAACAATGACACTAAATTTATGTCAAAATTACATCAAATTTGATGTTTTGATGTCAATTTTTTTTTGTCATCTCCAACAACAACATCAAATTTCATACTAAAAGTAATATTATATATTTTTTGTTTTTTAAATCTTAAGAATTTTTATGTTTTAATTATTTGTAACTGATATAATTATTTTATCACACTTATTTATTATGTTTGTTAAAATTTTGTATTTTCTATAAAATTTATTTACATTTATTTTTGGTTTACCAATATTATATCTTTATGTATTTATTATATATAAATATTAGTTATGATCAAAATTACAAACTATTAAAAATGAAAAGTACATAAAATAATAAATATATTTTAATAAAATTTGTATTAGTTAGTAACATATTATAATATATTGTTTTACAATATGACATTTAGTGGTTTATTAATAGAAAATAAAAAAAAAACTTAATTATGTAAAATAATTTAAAAATACATTATATTTAAGTTTAATTACAAATTTGAACTAATTAATAATAGCTATTGAAGATATTATTGAATGAAATGTAATAAATATATATTTTAAATTTGGTGTGATGAATAGTGTTACACTAAATTTAAATTTGATGGAATAGTGTCAAGTTTGGTGTTTTGAGATGAATTTACACCAAATTTGGTGTTTTAGTGTCATTGTTGAAGATGGCATAATTTGTTAAGAAACACTAAAACTAAGTTCGAACCTATCCATGAAAAGGAAGAGCAGGTGAAAACCACTAGACCACAATAGTTTGTTCCAAAAAGTCTAGTCCCAAAAGTAATTAATATGGAAACAATCTCAAACCCATGTGTCAGTTTCCTTGTATCCATGACCAGCCTTGCATGCAAGAGAAAACGGTTGCACAACGATTTGTAGTTGGGCAACAACAAGCATCATAAAACTAAAGCCATCATTTGAGATTGTGAATTTATTGAATAAAAGACCATTTTGTGATAAAAGCAAACTCATACTCTCAAGTAACCTTAATCTGAAAGCAATATAGTTCACACAAATGTTCAATAACTTAATTTTTTAGACAACAACTTTGATATACATTTCAAATGAATTCTCAAACGGACAAAGGAAAAGATCAAGCAGGTAAGGGTAACCGATTTAAGCAATCCAATACAGAATCTTAAGCAAAACAAAACAACTGAAACTTTTAAACTTGTTCTTCTACTTCTCACCCATTTTTCTTGTTTCTCAACCACCAAAGTTAGTCAAAGTTATAAACTAAACGTCACGTCACTCCACAACATCAATGCAGTTCTCACCTACCTCTCCCTCGTGGCCATTCTTGTTTTTTCCATAAACTTCTTCAGACTTTGGTGTTTCCTTTGTGGACTTCTTCATATCTGGTGTCCTCCTCGGGCTATCATTAGCTTTGGGCTCTGCCTTGCGACCGTCTACACTGTGGCGATGTCGAACACAATGCTTCCCTTTCACCTCCTGATGTGATGAGTGAACTGTGTCACTGCAACTCTTTCTACGGTTAAGGTTTGGTGACTTGGGCCGAGTCAGAGGAAACTGTTGATCAAACCACCACAGAATATTAACATAATAACTTCGTTTGCAGGTTTTAGAACAGCATGTTTAGTTTAAAGATAATTAAAAATTCTGTTTTAAAAGATTGTTCATGGTTATGATAGTGTGAAATACTGCCAAAATAAATAAAAACAAAGCTAACATGATCATATACTAGGATAAGCAGTTCGTGTGACATAAGAGAAGGAAACAAAATGTTATTATGGGATTCTGTTAGTGCTGGACAAGCAAAGAAAATAGACATAGAAGAAGGAAGCAGAGACAGTGTGGTTTAGTTTCCTTACCTTTTTCAGTGGAGGTTTCTGTGGAGGAGGCTCGTGATAGAAAGTCGGTACAGGATTAGCTTTGTAAACCATGTTCTTCCGGAGTTGCTTAGTGACTAATTCTTGCTCTTCCTGAACATAAATACGTTTTCAAGAGAATGCTCAAGAATCTAAGACCATTGTTCAAAAAACAGAGCAAGACATTTTTTTCTGCATCATCATGCTATTATTCCTAATGAAAATGCATGACACATACACCGTATACTAGCTAATGGATGTGTGTATGCAAGAGCATATATGTTGTTGGTACCTTAAGCCTTTTCTCGTTTTCCATCTTCTCTTCCTCGAGTGCTTTCTGTTTCTCCTCTAACTTCTTGTAAAACTGAAACCATAGTACGTTGATAAATTAGCTTATCGATGTAAACAAGAATTAAGGAAGGAACAATAATTATTGTGACATCTCTAAATACCTCTTTGCGTCTCTCCAACCGCGATGTGCTGCTAAAGGTTGGAGCAACTCCAATGGTTACCTTGGGTTTAATAGTTCTCACAGATGTAGCTGATCTATAGACCTGGTTAAGGATCAGACAAAATAATGGTCACAGATTTAAAAAAAAAAGAAATGTTTCTCTACTTTCTTTTCTCGTTTTGACTTCAGGACAATAAAAAAGGATACGAGGAAGCAACAGAAAAACTATCATCTTCATCATGGTGCTTCATGTGATTTACTGTCTTCCTCGCTGGCATAGGCGAGTTTGGCTGTGAAAAAAACGAATCATTCAGTCTCATTTCACAATTCCCATAAGGACTAGCGTTAGACACTTTGTTTTTACCTGTGAACCTCTTGATCCTGAAGAAGAGTTGCGGCTACCAGCATTTCCCGGTGAGTTGTTATTATTATTATTATTATTATCACCCACTCTTGCTCTTGCGCAGACTGAGGAAGCAGGCTTTTCAGCGGACAGAGAGAATGGCTTTGGAACAGTGTAATTCCGAGTTTTATGTGAAGCAGAAGGTGTGTTTAGCTTCTTCCTTTGGCCAGAAGATGTATGAGATCCAGATCCGTCATCTGAAACCAAGTTGTGATCAGTACACTCCTTAACCTCTGCAGGCTCCATATGCTGCGTAGAAGATCCCGAAGAGCTGTTTAGCTTATTATTATTATCCATGTGTTTGTCCACTGGTTCTCTCCCCATTACCACTATAAACATATAAGAAAAATAATCAGCTTTTTTTTAAACAACAAAGAAAGATGTACAAACTTCAAAGATCAATGGAACATATAGAGATTGCACAAACATCATTAAAACAGGACAATACATAGACAACAAAGAATATATAATAATCAATTAAAACAATATTACGAAACATAAGTAGGTATCCACAATCATCAAATCTATGTTCTTTTAATGCTTCAGCTGAAGAAAATTAGGCGAATCCTCAAATAAATGTTGCAATTAAGACACTGAATCGTTCGGAAATTAACAAAAAAAAAAAAAGAAGCATTTGACATTAAAAAAAAAAAAACCTAATTAATATTAATTCGTTCCAAGAGAAAAAAGAACATGAATTGGACGCAGATCGAAATCAGATCGGAAACACATTTGTCCTATGAAAGATTTGAGAGAAAAAATCTTACGGGTTTATAGCTCCGATGTCTCCAGAAGCTTCGTCGAATACATTCTCTCTCTCTTTCTGCGCAGGCCGAAATGCGAAATCCCCTTTCACGTCTATTTTGCTTCTTTTTCTTTTGTTTAATCCAATTTGTTTTTTTAATTTTATCTTTTGTTGACCAATGGAATGTTAAATATATTCGTCTTTTTATTGGGCTTTATTTAGCTTCCTTTTTGACTCTTTTTTGGTTATTTATAAGAAAAGTAAAAACACCGTGAAAATGCAGTAATGGTTATCTTATCCTGTTAAAGTCAACATTCTTGACTATTCCTAAACTGATATGATCCGGTTTGATTAGGTTCAACTGAGCCGAATCTTGTCTGGTCGAACAACATTCAGGATTGCAAGAGCAATATTTTAATCTAGTTTGGTCCAAGCAAGTGACGTATGGGTTTGGTCGGAAAGCATATATAGCCGTGTGAAAGAGTAATAAGAACAAAAGTAGTACTTTGTTTCACAATTGGCTAGATTACGTTCCGCTCTTTCTCTGCCGTTTCCTTGCCGACGGGGATTTTTTCTCTTTTTTATTTGACTGCTACCGACGGGATTTCAGATTTTTTTTTGTTTTCATTTTTTTTTCCAGGCTAGATTTTTGTTGTATATTATTATTTGATCATATGGACTTCAGAGTTTAGATCAATATATAATTGTCTACGGGGATATGGGCTTATTCAAAATATCACCATCTTGTTAACTGTGGGTTTAAGTTTCACAGGCCCAGTTTCATATTTGTTTTTTCTTTGTCAAATTATATTAATAAAGGCTATAAGCCGAACACTAATACAAGTGGTTTGTTCATAATTAAGCCCAATACAGAGGCCCTGAGAAATAATTATTCTGGTCTGAATTTGTATTTTTTTCTAAATATGTAATATTATTTTAAAAAACAATAAATAGATATTTTATTGTCTCCACATACTTTTTGTTTTCAAATTATATTACAACTTCCATTCCAAATTACAATACAAAATACAAAACGTTTATTCTTTGAAAAATGTTTTATTTTATTTTTAATATACATAAACATGATTTTTTTTTTCTGATTTACCAAGTATGTTTGACAAGCGAGATTTAACCGACTAATTCTTAAAGTTTATCCATCAGTGACAGGTAAACCCGATTTGTCTACGTGATAATTAGAAATAACCGCTGAGAAGTTAGCAATTTCACACTAAATAGAGTCGATTCCTGACTGTACCAGCATGGCAACTTCTGATTTGGTGGAAAATATAATTTTAGTGTCTTTCATCTATTGTATTCTAATCTATTTTACTTCATATTTGAATCTAACTTTTAAAGAAAATAGGAAAAAAAGAATCATGATCATTAGGAAAAAGATAGATACGACTGATACTAAGAATATGAATGGAGATGTAGAGAAAACACAAATCTAATGCAGATCATTTATTTTGCAAATAGAACTGCATTTATGTTCCAATCACCATAAAAAAATGCAGAACAAGATAAAATGATAAAGTAATAGATAATATGTATGCAGATTGACTTTAGGGCTTCGAATGGAGTGTAGATTAAAAAAAATGTGTAGATCAAACACAAAATATAGATCAAGCAGAATAAACACAGATCAAACTATTTTAACTAGTTTGTCAAATTAGCTTATTTAGTCAAATACTAAACAATAAAATTTATTAAATGAAATATCTAGAAATACAAATTATTATATAAAATAATAAGAATTATTTTTTTAATAAACAACACGCACATTTAAACATTAAAAGGTACATTTACAACATACAACGAAATTGAAAATAAAATAAAATGGAGTGTTTTATTTGTTCATAACGTATTTGCAATCATTTCTCTAACATTTGTCATAAGATTTTCTTGTCCCGTTTCCGCTTCTTGCATATTATTTTGTTCAGCCATAAAGGTGGCATAGGGAATCTCTGCATGTGTCATTCTATGAGCAAAATTTTCATCAGGAAAATTTGAAATTCTAATAAATTATGTAATCTCATTGTTGTCGTTACCACTCTTTTTTGAACATGCATATCATATCTCGAAAATTTATAAAGAATCCTCCATTTTTTCTTCCAAACTCCAAATGCCCTCTCAATAACAAAACGCAAAGATGCATGATAGCAATTAAATAACTCTAGTTTGTTTCTCGGTGGAGGACCACTTTCGAACTGTGACATATGCTACCTAACAACCATGTTTCGTGAAGACCTATAGGGAGCCAAAAAACCCTGTTTATTTGGATATCTAGAGTCAACGAGATAATACTTATCGACTAAAGGTAAAGGGAAATCAGAATCATTGTCTTTCACCATTGTGATAACGGTTGTATCGTGACATGAACCAGATGCTCCATTCCAAACATATGTGAATAACATATTCAAATCAAATATCGTTACTATGTTAAATGATGTAATATTGTGCCGATACCAGTACATTCTTTGAACTTCAGGCTTCACTTTAAACCAAACATTAACTCCATCCATAGCTCCAACAAAACCACTAAAATAAGACCAATATCTCTCATCTATTAGTAGTCGTTATGGAACCCATTTTAGTTCTTGTGTTGTTGGGGTCTTGATATAGTCACAAGCAAGCAATTCAGCCGCTCGTCCAAATCGTAATCGAACATTCTTTAAACTTTGTTATGTCCACATATTGTTATTTCTTTTGAAGTAAAACCTATTGTAAAGTAGGCAAATAATTTATCAATATATTATTTCCTGGTGAATAAAGGGAAGCGCATTTACCTTTTGTTCAAACTCACTTCTCCGATTACCATATTTGCATGTGTTTTGCATGTATACTATCTTCCCCCACTTTCTTAATTTTTCCATCGTGCATTATTCCGATTGAATCTCCAACAGTTCAGAACCACTACATCCATTCTTTCACGAAACTTCTTAGCCCTAAACCAGTTCTGTTGAGGCAATGTAGTGCTCCACCTAAGCTAACAAAAATATACAAAAGAGCTAATGTCGCTGAAAAATATGGGTTGTGAAGATCAAATTCCATAGAAATAAAACTCTGCATCAGCTTGGGATATTCCATACAGTCCCAATTAAGAATTAATTAGGGTTTTGAAAAATCAAAGAAGAATCATAGGTTTTTTGTATTCTCTGTTTTCGTAAAGTTGGAAATTTCTCTGCTGTTTGTTTGTTGTATGAACAGAAGAATTATAGTAAGGAAAAGGAAAGGATCATGGACAAAGAAGATAATCATGGATGGGTCGTGATCTCTTTTTTTTAAAACTGTTCTATGGTTTTTTTTCTCTTTTTATTTATCTAATCATAAGCGTTATTTTTTGCATTTATTGTATGTCAATTGTTTTATTTAAATAATCCAATAAAAAAATTTTCCACATGTCAAATTTTGATTTGTCAGGTGACTTGCGCTTTAGTATATAAAACATATGCTACTATACTTTTTCATCTTCTCTAATTAAAACTTTGGTTATTATTATTTTTAATTCTTATAAATATATTAACATATTTAATAAACTTATAAATACTAAAATATAAATAATAAAATATTTATAATTATACAAAATTAAATATATTTAAATATATTTTATGTTTTGCAACTATTTACAAAATGTCCATATACAAATTATTTAAAAAAAAAATAAACTTGAATGTTAATTTCTTTTATTTCTCAAAATTAATATAAGTTGAATATACTTTGCCAAAATAAAAGAAATTACCATTCAAGTTTTAAATTTTTTAAAAAATTTATATATTGACACTTTGTAAATAGTTGCAAAACATGAAACATATTTAATTTTGTAGAATTATAAATATTTTATTATTTATATTTAGTATAATATATTTTTATTAAATATATAATAATTAAAAACATGTTAATAATCAAAAATAATTATAACAAACATTATTTTCCAGTTGAGCGCATAGTCGCATTTAACATCTTCTGAAAGGCATGGCATAACCGAAGATTCTTCGGATTTTTTTTGGTTTGGTTGCACTTTGGTTACTGCATTTTATCCAGTTTATAATAAAATATTTTATATAATAAAGGAAAAAGAAACCGATTTCCATATAAGATCAAAGCTTTTTGACTGGTTAAAGGCAAATTTGTTTAAAAGATTTCACTCACAACTCAATCATGTATGAGCTTGAAGCGAACACTGTGGTTATTGAGTTAAGACAAGTTCGGGTTCAATTCCATTCAAAACAAATTATGGGTCTCATAGGTCATCTCCATATTGAGTTATATATATTGTTATCTACTACAACTAAATCTGGAAATAGTTTGTTGTTTGATGAATGTTCAGACCACCCTCGCGGTTGCAATGTTCATCCTCTCATGCGTCTTCCAAATTGGTTGCCCTTAAGTTTTCTGATTCTTCTTTTGGAGTCCATGTAAGATTAGTTTGTTGTTTCTTCGTCAAACCTTTGATTTTTATATTCAAGTTTGATTTACAATGTTTTTTGAATGAAATAAGACCAACCATAATAATCTGGAATTTAAAAGCGTTATCGTTGAATGTAAGTATCTTATTACTTTCTGTTAGTTTAGATATCCCAGAAGAAAGTTGATGTTTGTCTTTTCTCTTATTCACATACCCTGGAAAACATGGAGAGTGTAAGCAGCTACCGGTTCATGGTTGTCCTTCAATACGGTTCTGTTGTTCTTATCAATGTGTCAATGACGCTGAGTCTTATCTTAAGATGGTTTGTGGATGTGCTTTTGGACTACTTGCAGAAATGAGAAAAGATGGTTGTTTTCCTATAACCTTTTTGTTAAAAATTATAGTGGAAAGTTTTGCAATGAACAACCTTTCTCTTGATGTTGTATTAGATTATGTTGTTAATTAGAAGTCTCTGTTTACTGAGGAAATACGATATACGATGTAAACTACATTTTGTCTCTGGCTATAATGTGTTTTTATATATAGAACTTTGCATCGTAAATCATTTACACCACA